AGTGAGGCACTGCTTGCTGCCGCCTGCAGCAGACTGATCACTGGGGGAGGGGAGACTAAAGGAATGCTTCGTCCTGCCTGTAGCATTCTGATCACTGGGGGAGGGGAGACTGAGGAAATGCTTCCTCCTGCCTGCAGCAGACTGATCCCTGGGGGAGGGAAGACTAGGAGATACTTCCTCCTGCCTTCAGCAGACTGATCACTGGGGGAGGGGAGACTAGGAGATACTTCCTCCTGCCTGCAGCAGAATGATAACATCATCTCAGCCTAGGCAAAGTCACTGACTGGAGCTCAGGGACGGCTTTTTTTATAATAAAAGGTGGAACTTTCCTGGTACTGTTGCTGTATAATGTAACAAATCAGGAATTTCCTCATGCAGATTGGTGTAGATACTGACAGGTCCACTTTAATAATTCTCCCAGAACTGTCTGATTTCCATACATGGGTCAGTCATATCAACTGAAAACATATTTCATATTTCAGGGTAATCAACATGCAAACTGAAGAATTTCTGATGATGAAATATTATCAGCAAATCTTCCCCAGATGTGACCTTGGTGACCCCCGAGTGACATCAGAACGGTGGACGCGGCTCCAGCCGATGTGAGGGAATCATTTTATAGGATACTTTGTATATATTCCCTATATGAGATGTTTATTTTCCCCAGAGGGGGTCTCTCTCTCTCCATGTGACAATGTCCACCCTCCGTACTCCGGGAACTTACCCCGCTTTGCCTCCGGCCTCCATGTGATTGGCCAGAGTGACGTCATTGGACCAGACATCGAACTGCCACTTGCGCAGCCCCAGGACCCCGCAGTGCACACGACCGCTGTGAATCCCTACGCGCATATTGACGTTCACCCCGGTCACTTCCCTCACCAGCCTGCAGGGGAAGACATAATACACACATATAGATTTAAAGTATTCAAAGAAGAAGAAGTCTATCAAGAAATAGATAAAAAAAGATTCCGTTCATTATATTATTGATTCAGCGATGACGTTTTCATACATTTAGGTGTAGTTATACATTCATCATTTTTTAGGACAAACAAGACTTTCTTTTGGTGATATTATCCAGCAAAAATGTAAATTTTTTCCACGGAATCCATAGAAAAAAAGTACAAAACTAAATAAATGCAGATTGTTTCCTTTTATAATGTGTCCTGTGTAAAATGACACTAAAATAATGATTCTAGTCAAAAGCATTACAAATTAAATAAAGGCCTTTTTTCCTCAATTTGTGCTTTTTTTTCCATTGTGACACTAAAATATATTAATAGACAAATAAACTGGAAAAAAAACAACAGTTTAAATGGTGAGGAAAAGTGGCAGAAGGAGAAAATTGGGGCTGATTAGGCTAAACGAAGGGTTAATAAGGGGATAATAGGAACACAATGTTTTAAAAAACAACTTTTTTTTACACTTTTCAGGTTGCTTTAACAGACATCATACGCAGATGGAAGCTCAATCTTTTATTCCGCAGATGAATGAAACAGAGTAGATACAAAAGTAACAATGTTACTCTGTATCTATCTCCCTCTGATCAATGTTTATAAACAATGTTACTTTGTATCTCTCTATCTCCCCTCTGATCAATGTTTATAAACAATGTTACTTTGTATCTCTCTATCTCCCCTCTGATCAATGTTTATAAACAATGTTACTTTGTATCTCTCTATCTCCCCTCTGATCAATGTTTATAAACAATGTTACTTTGTATCTCTCTATCTCCCCTCTGATCAATGTTTATAAACAATGTTACTTTGTATCTCTCTATCTCCCCTCTGATCAATGTTTATAAACAATGTTACTTTGTATCTCTCTATCTCCCCTCTGATCAATGTTTATAAACAATGTTACTTTGTATCTCTCTATCTCCCCTCTGATCAATGTTTATAAACAATGTTACTTTGTATCTCTCTATCTCCCCTCTGATCAATGTTTATAAACAATGTTACTTTGTATCTCTCTATCTCCCCTCTGATCAATGTTTATAAACAATGTTACTTTGTATCTCTCTATCTCCCCTCTGATCAATGTTTATAAACAATGTTACTTTGTATCTCTCTATCTCCCCTCTGATCAATGTTTATAAACAATGTTACTTTGTATCTCTCTATCTCCCCTCTGATCAATGTTTATAAACAATGTTACTTTGTATCTCTCTATCTCCCCTCTGATCAATGTTTATAAACAATGTTACTTTGTATCTCTCTATCTCCCCTCTGATCAATGTTTATAAACAATGTTACTTTGTATCTCTCTATCTCCCCTCTGATCAATGTTTATAAACAATGTTACTTTGTATCTCTCTATCTCCCCTCTGATCAATGTTTATAAACAATGTTACTTTGTATCTCTCTATCTCCCCTCTGATCAATGTTTATAAACAATGTTACTTTGTATCTCTCTATCTCCCCTCTGATCAATGTTTATAAACAATGTTACTTTGTATCTCTCTATCTCCCCTCTGATCAATGTTTATAAACAATGTTACTTTGTATCTCTCTATCTCCCCTCTGATCAATGTTTATAAACAATGTTACTTTGTATCTCTCTCTCCCTCTGATCAATGTTTATAAACAATGTTTTTTTGTATCTCTTTATCATCTTGTACCCCTGTATATTACGGTCCCAAGGGACCGTAATATACAGGGGTACAAGTCCTCCTAAGAATGAGGTGATACATGGACCTATACATACGCACACATCAGCAATAGGTTGGACTTGATGAACTTACGTCTTTATTCAACCTCAAATACTATGTAACTATCTGTCTAAAAAATATTTTTAAAACATGTGTCAGACAGAACTTACGATATTGCCTCAATCATGTCCATCCCCATCTCTACACAGCAGTGGGCGTGGTCAGAGCGGGCCTCCGGGAGACCAGATACACAGTAGTAACAGTCCCCCAGAATCTTTATTCGCAGACAGTGGTTCTCCTGGGGGGAAAAAAAAAAAATTCAAAATGTGTCACAACAGTTGAAAAACACAACCGCATGTCACTTAGGAAATTGTGTTCTCAATGTCATCAGAATCCTGAGAGGGTCCATAATAGAAGTCACCAGCACTCGATGATACGTGCAAGAAGTATGAGAACCTTTTACTAAATTGTCACACACGTCATATAGCCAACATTTCGGGGCCACGCAGGGCCCCTCCTTCGGGGCGACATTGTGACATAAGAAGAAGTGGCCCTGCGTGGCCCTGAAACGCATGTGACAATTTGATAAGAAGTTCTTATACTTCTTGCGCCATATCATCGCGTGCTGGCGACTTCTATTATGGGCGGTATCTCACACGGCGCCATCCGTGTTGTCACTTCGAGCACCAATTGTCCATGAAGGTCTATAGGCAGTATGGAGTGCAGGTGATTTCCTGTTATTGATAGAATCCAGAGAGGAGCACAAGGCGATGTACACCCGAATTATTAGATTACATATCTAAACTTATGAACGAAGGCAGGAAGAAGTGAGGGATTGCCGCGGCATTAATCTGTCTTTGAATAAAATAAATGCGAATGATTTCATACTCTGCTACTAGCTGCTATTTCACTGGTTGCTGCACAAATCTAACAAAGCTTAGCGGGTATGAAGAGAACTCACTGCAGCAGCTGTTTGCTTTCAGACTGTCCATCTAGAATTGAAGCTCCACACATCCCCGTCTGTACAAGGCAGACACACTCACTGGAGTTTATTGTTTTAGTTATGAACATAAAAAAAGTAAGGAAAGAAAATATGCAAAAAAAGAAAGTTCCATCTAATCACAGAATGAAAGACATCATCCATTTTTAATCTGACTCCTGCTGAGTATGATGGTAAAAGACCGGCATAGTGCGCCTGTTACTGGTGTCAGGTGTGATCAGCGGTGTAATTAACTTTGCTGCTGCCCTAGGCGAGAGGCGAGAGCGCACTATACAGAGGGGGGTGATGCCATCTACGGGAATCGGCGGGTCAGTCCGGGGGGGGGTGGTGTGTGCAGCTTTGCCCTAGGCAAGGCAGCATCGCCGCCCTCAGCGAATCTGCCGCTCCAGGCAAACGCCTTGTTTGCCTTGCGGCAGATACGCCCCTGGGTGTGATCCTTGCTGGGGGAGGTTCCCTGCACACACCCTCTGCCCCTCTCTCGCCACTGGCTCCTGAGGGAGAGGCTACCTGGTTGCCACGGTAGCCGGGGAGTGGTCTCAATCCTCCACCAGTCAGAGCCCTGGCTCATTGCTGAGTTATTCTACCCCTATGGTGTGATCTCCCAGCTCCCCGTGCCTTGAACCTGTCTTTATTCCTAAACCTCTGCTTGGACTCCTGATTACCGACCGCTTTGGCTTACCCTTCCGTTACTGAAACTAGCTGCCAGCCTCGACCCGAATTGGACCTGACTATTCTTGGATTTTTCCCTGTGTACCACGACCTCGGACTTTGGCTTGCCGCCCCCTGCCAAGGGGTTCCACTCACGGCCCAGCCGTACCCCCCTGACACATGGACAGGAGAAGATTTGTGTTCCCGCGCTTTATCCCAAACCATAAAAATACATTTTGTCTGGCTCTAGAACGGTTCATTGGAGGTCTATATGTCTATATTCTGTATATTGATGATCTATAGAAACAGATACAATGTGTGTGTGAACTCACAGCCGCCAGCTTGTCAAACCGGGCAAACAACTCGTTGAGGGTCATCACCAGTTCCTGTGCCGTGCATTGCGACGCCAAACTCGTAAATCCCTCGATGTCGGCAAAGAGGATACTGCAACATAAGAAGAGGAGCACAAAGGATCATTACAGAGGATGAATTTCCCCCCGACCGACAGCCAACACCCTCAGTCACAATCTACGGTCAGCTTGTTGGTTGTAGATTGTGTTGGACGGTAGTCGGCGGGCCGCACGCACACCCACATAACCCGGCAGAACAGGAAGTGTGTCACTGGCAGGATCACCAGGTGACAATAAAGGGAAACAAGCCTGAAAAAAAGAAAACTAATGCAGTCACCACATCTAGGAATGGCAAGGTATTGGGGGGTGCTGACACATCTAAGGGCGGGGAAGATACACTTTAAAATGTAATTTACTTTAATAATTTTAAGTTTACGTTTTTAAACTATGTTTTCTCTTCCTATACTTTCTATTTGACAAATAAACATTTATTACAGAGCGTACCCATGACACTGATATCTCAGAGCATTATGTGTTGCCTGTAGGAAGCGCTCAGCAGTTGCTTTTCACTTTCAGACTGTCCCACCCTAACTGAGGCTCCATGTAGTCAGGGCCGGATTTACTGTCTCTGCTGCCTCAAGGACAGGTTCCTCAATACGCCCCCTACCCGCCAAACCCCACCCCCACGCCCCCCGCACCCCTCAACAATGGAGAATGGCAGACCTGCAGGCTGCATACAAGTGATCTTGGCAAAACCACCGAGATCACTTGTACAAAACCAGTGCCGGCTTCCCCGCTGTACATTTAGCTCTGTTTGCCCAAAGCCGGACTAAATGTAGAAAACAACTACCCGCTGGGCGCCCAGAACTGCATGTCCCAGGCATCGGGAGATAGGAATTCCACACCCCTGCTGCCCCTCTACTCCCTTCTCCCCAAGGCCGGACCTTGGTTGGCCTTGTGGGAAATCTGGCCCTGCCTGTAGTCCTATCTCAACAAAGCACACAGAGAGGGGGAGGAGCCACTCCTCTGATTCAAGCAGAGCTACTGATTCGGCACTTGAGCTACTGAGTCCTGTAAATACCATACTTTCCTTAGCCAAGGTTAGACTGGAAATAATGTGAAAGGGAGCCGGGAGTCCCAACAGCTAACTGGAAATGTAATTATGAAATATCCATTTCATGTTCTTCAATTGATTTTTAATATTTTTATTTGATTTCTTTTTATAAAGGAATATATTTTAAAAGAATATACATCCCCTTAGGGTTATGGTTAAGGTTAGGGCTATGGTTAGCGTTATGGTTATGGTTAAGGTTAGGGTTATGGTTATATTTAAAGGAGAACTATGGGGTCAGGGCTTTCCCCCATAGTTCTCCTTAGGGTAACGGGAGGACACAAACTAGCGTCCTCCCGTCACCCTAGGCTCAGTATACCGCGAGCTGTAGCTCGCGGTATACTGAGACACCGCAGCTGAAGCGGATCCCAACAATTGTGCCGGGATCCGCCCAGCTGCGTGACTGATAGCCGGCTCTGCCTATCTAGAGGCAGAGCCAGCTGTACCCGCCCCCTCCCCCGTCCGTTCCGCCAGTCAGCGCTGCCAGAACGGAGCGGGGAATCCAGGACCTCCCCTGTCACGGCAGAGAGCCGTGACAGGATCGAGAGGTGAGCGAACGCCGGTATGTGTTCCCTCACCTCCCGATCTACTGATCCGTCCTGTGACAGTCTCATTGTCACAGGTCGGCTAGAACTATGAGGTGAGTGAAAAGCACCCCCCTCCCCCCCCCTCATAGTTCTCCTTTAGGATTAGGGTTATGGTTAAGGTTAGGGTTATGGTTCAGGTTAGAGTTATGGTTAGGTTGAGGTCAGGGCCGTCTTTAATATTGATTGGACCCTGGGCGCTACCTGGTTGATAGCTGGCTCTCCCTCTGTAGATCCAGAGCCAGCTGTGCCAGCCCCCTCCCCGATGCCGAAGAGGTGGCCAGTGCAGATGCAGCATTAGCACTAGTTTATGGGGTACAAGGCCCCACAGCAATGACTGGGCCCGGGGCAGCTGCCCCTTTTGCCCTGCCTTAAAGACGGGCCCTGGTTGAGGTAATGAAACTACTCCATAACACACATTTGATTTTCCTATTCCTAGAAGCTTTTGATATTTTTTGGCACTGATACATGTGTCTATTTTTGTGAACATTAAACCCTCCCCCCCCTCCAAGACTGAAGGAAACACTCCGAGATCACAAAGTATCAATTTATAGATTTGAGTTTTCATACATTCATTCCATGAGCTCACACACAGTAAGGTTCACACTATATATATTCCCTTCAATTATCCAATGACGAGCTGATGAGATGAGTAATTGGGGGATTTTCTTATTACATGATTGGATCAATAAAAATGAAACATTCTCAGGTCCTAAATCAGCCTCATAATGTGAACACTGACCCGATTTAGGGTTCTGGTATGTTCCCTTACCTTAGTGAATGAGCTGAAAGTGTGCTGAATCATCTAATCATGAGCGAGCAAAGATCAGGGTTTTGTTTGGGGATTAGATAGATATGTGTAGAGGGGTAAAAGCACAATGTTGTCCGGCAGCTGATAGGAGCCAGTACAGGTCAGAGGTCACTGGTGCTGGTACCAGGGAGGGGTGGAGGATATATGGAGCAGCACATCACCTGGTCTGGTGGACACTGCGGTAGATGTGCAGATTGACTATCGCAGAATAAACAGTTTGTCCAGCAGACACCATACAGCGAGCTTCTCATATAAACGTTACAGAGAAACCTGGAATGTCACTACAGATAAGGAGCAAACAGTCCCTATTATCAGCCATCATCACTCTGTGACATTACAAGGAAACCCGGAGCGGTAACGTCTCTCCTGTCTGCGCTTCTCACACATTTAATATTATTATACGGGATTTATAGAGCCCGGGCAGGTTGCGCTTTACAGTATAAGGAAGACATTACATTACAATTCAAAACAAAAGAGTAAGGAGGGCCCTAATCCTGAGAGCTTGCAATCTAAAATGAAACAAAACACGAGAGGAGCTGAGCATAGGGACCACGGCGCGCCAAATGCTTAACTGGCAGGGCAGGTGGATCAGCAGTCGGCTGTCTGACAACACAGACAGTTCATTTTTTTTTAAACAAACTCTCTCCTGGCTGTCTCTCCTCACTCTCTCCTTGCTCTCTCCCCTGGCTGTCTCTCCTCTCTCTCTCCTGGCTGTCTCTCCTCACTCTCTCTCCTGGCTGTCTCTCCTCTCTCTCTCTCCTGGCTGTCTCTCCTCTCTCTCTCCTGGCTGTCTCTCCTCACTCTCTCGTGCTCTCTCCCCTGGCTTTCTTTTCTCCTGGCTGGCTCTCTTGGATGTCTCTCCTCTCTCTCTTTCCTGGATGTTTCTCCTCGGTCTCTCTCCCCTGGCTGTCTCTCCCCTCTCTCTCCTGGCTGTCTCTCCTCTCTCTCTCTCCTGGCTGTCTCTCCTCTCTCTCTCCTGGCTGTCTCTCCTCACTCTCTCCTTGCTCTCTCCCCTGGTTGTCTCTCCTCTCTCTCTCCTTGCTCTCTCCACTGGCTGTCTCTCCTCACTCTCTCCTTGCTCTCTCCACTGGCTGTCTCTCCTCTCTCTCTCCTGGCTGTCTCTCCTTGCTCTCTCCCCTGGCTGTCTCTCCTCTCTCTCTCCTGGCTGTCTCTCCTCTCTCTCCCCTGGCTGTTTCTCCTCACTCTCCCCTGGTTGTCTCTCCTCTATCTCCCCAGGCTTTCTATCCTCACTCTCTCCTGGCTGTCTCTCCTCTCTCTCTCCTGGCTGTTTCTCCTATCCTGGCTGTCTCGCCTCTCCTGGCTGTCTCTCCTCACTCTCTCCCCTGGCTGTCTCTCCTCTCTCTCTCCTGGCTGTCTCTCCTCTCTCTCTCCTGGCTGTCTCTCCTTGCTCTCTCCTGTATACCGCCAGAAAAATTGCCATGTGGCCATAGAGTGTTTGGGTTTTGCATGAAGAAAAGGTGGCAACCCCAAGGAATACCCGACGCATGTGTTTACACTCATATTTGTGCGTGCACATGGGGGTGGGGCTTAAAAACGTTTCTGCTTTTTTTGTAATTGATTTTTAATATATTGTTAAATATCTCATTATAAATGTTTTCTTAAATCTGTTTGATAAGTAAAAAAAATGCCTTCTGGTCCCGCCAGAAATAACTCCCTGTGCGCTCTGCCTGCGCTGCACTCTTATCAGTTACATTGTTTCTTGATACTTTTGCAGACTGCAGAACACCTCCATCTATGTTATGCAGTAGAGGAGAGGAGGAGGGAGGATGTGTATTTCTTACGCACTTCTTGTTGTAGGGTGACAACGCTGCACAGATATAGAACAGTGAGTGAGTGTTGTCGCCCTCGGACAGGAAGTGTGTTACCGGCAGGATCACCAGGTTAAGATATATTACATTTCCGTTGTTGGGATTCGATGCTCTTTATATGTATCGGCTTTTCGGAAGTTTTTGTGTTCGGGATTTTGCGGGGAATGAGCGGCGGTGTCAGCCGTCTGTGGAACTGGGACTAAATAGGGCGATTGGGTTTAATAATCCGCCGCGGGCTCCAGTTTCCGCTGAGGTCAAGTCCCGGGCACTAGAGTCTCTGGAAATGAGTGTCCCTTAGTGCTGAGTACTTGGGGCCCTGTAGGAGGAAGTGGGCCTCATCTTCCAGGGCCCCCTGGTCACCCCGCTAGCACAGTCTACTCTCCCTGGGCTAGTAGGTCTGTCTATGCCGCCCTGATTCTATTTCCAGGCTGTGGGCGCTCAGTCTGTACCAGCTCAGGATGTGTCTGTCCTTGGGGGTCCCGTAGTACCGTGTTTCCCCGAAAATAAGACACTGTCTTATATTTTTTTTTGGCTCAAAAAAACACACTAGGTCTTATTTTCGGGGTAGGTCTTATTTTTTTTTTTTAATGTACAACAATCCAAAGTTAACGCAAATCCAAATTAAATAATCCAAAATGGCAAAGTTAAGAATGGGGTGATCAGGGCAATCAGGGGGTGCCGCACCTTTCCAAGAACAACTTGGTAACCAATCGCTGGCCAGAATGAGCGAAGCGCACTTTCACTATCGATTCCTCACAG